CAGCCTCTATTTCAATTAATCCCATATGTTCTGTTATTTCATTTACGCGTTACTCCGCTGGTTCAATTGACCGTGTAAATGAAGACTCAACTGTATATATACAGTGAACCCTCACTTTACGAGGTTAATTCAACCCACAGGGTACCGCGGAAAGTGAGAAACGCGTAAAGTGAACAACATAACATATGGGATTAAATGAAATAGAGACCGGCTGACCCCCAAACTCCACTTTTTCCAACACAATACCTATGTTCTAGTAAAAATAACATCTAAATTTTATGATGGTACATGCACACAATTAATACTTAAGAGAAATAGAGAAATACAGTCGCCAAGTTAATGTCCATTCCAATAATGGACTCCACTCTCTCCCCCTCTTCTCACACTACACTCGCTGGCTCTTCCCTCTCTGAGAAATTTTTTGGGGAAAACCACAAGATTTTAAGGTATAGTAACAAATAATACCTCACACTAAAGTTAGGATAATATAATTGACATTGCTGGATTCCTTGTAAGACCAGGAATATTTTGAAAAATGTCATATATTTTGCACAAAAGATAACATATTTACTCAGAGTAAACAAAATACTTACATTAGATCTAAAATTTGTATGTCTAATGCAAAATCTATATGTTTATATTCAAAATGATCATCAAATTGAAAGAATTCCAGCAATGTAAATTATATTCTGGCCGGGTAATTTGTATGAATTTTATGAGCTAAAACAAATATCTTCAGTTAATAAAAAAAATAAATATTCTTCACGACACTATCTGTCAATCAAAGTACCCCACCTTGCCTCCCCCCCTCTTCCAACCGTGCCAGATGGTCGGTCGTTCCCTCCCTACCAGATAAATGTGTGGGAGAAACCAGAATATTTACCTTTTTAGTAATAAATAATACCTCAGACTAAAGTTAGGATAATATAATTGACATTGCTGGATTCCTTGTAAGACCAGGAATATTTTGAATATAAATGTCATATATTTTGCACAAAAGATAACATATTTACTCAGAGTAAACAAAATACTTACATTAAATCTAAAATTTGTATGTCTAATGCAAAATCTATGATGTATATATTCAAAATGATCATCAAATTGTAAGAATTCCAGCAATGTAAATTATATTCTGGCCGGATAATTTGTATGAATTTTATGAGCTAAATAAAAAAAATTATACTTCACCTGCGTAAAGGGGTACACGCACCGCGGAATGTGAGCATTCCGGTTTTCGGCAGGGTACCGCGTAAATGCAGAATGTGGGACAGCGTAAAGCGAGGGTTGACTGTATACAATTTTTTATTTATTTTTTTATTTGTTACTCTGTTACATGTACACACAATCTTCATACAGAATGTGCAAAGAAAATTATAAAATAATTATCATAAGGTAAAAAATATAAAGGAATTAATCATTGTGTGTGTAGAAGCAAGCACTGAGGGTGGGAGGGAGAGAGCTATGGCTGGCATAGCTCTGCTCTCTTACTGTCTCATGCCAAATAGCAACACAGTATTTTTTCTTTTACATATTATATTATTTTTATTATTATTTTTATTTATTCTTCACATTTACTGGTACAGTATACTCATATATTATATTATGTACAAAGAATAACTTCTTCCACAAGCAAACCTCCTACACATCCAGCCCACAACACAGTTCAGGCAATCACCCAGCTGACTCACAGAAGTGCAATGGCCACTGCAGTGGGTGTGTATGCCATCACGTCATGTGATGCATTTATAGCCGAGTAACCCACCATCTCATGACACATTTACTTCCCACATATGCTCTTCATTTTTCTTATTTTATAGTTTTATATTAAATTTTCCATATTTCTAAGCAACATTAGAGTATTGTAATGATTTTTACACAACTTTCATACATTCATTACAAGTAACAATATATGAGGCGGCTGGCTTGGTTGGTGATGTAGTTATATCCAAGGCTTTGGCTATAACTCCTTCCACACACTTACACTTCTCACACACAGAGACCCATGCTCTTCATTGTCTTATTTATATTTTTACATTATATTTTATTAATTTTTAAGTCACATTAGAGTATTGTAATGATTTTTAGACAACTTTTATAATGCCATTACAAGCAACAATAAATGCAATGGCTAGGCTGGAGAGACGGAGACATAGGTTATAGCTCACCACCTACACACACGTTTACTTCTCACACATAAGCACCCTTAACCATGCTCTTAATTTTTCTTATTTCATAGTTTTATATTTTCTTTCTTTGTTTTTGTCACATCATTTATACAGAGTGGAATAATTGTTAAAGTTGCCTGTTTTTCTGAGACAAGTGTGCTGGGAATCAGCTGGCACAGCCATCTTGGGGAAAGAGGTGCAGACTGCCCAGTTAAACAGTATTTTATTTATTTTTTCATGTGTTAGGTAGTATATTAGAGTAGTTGTGTACTATTTATCATTAAGTTAAATAGGTTTTGTTAATGTTTGTGAAATGGTTTCGTGTTTTGGGGGTAAAATACAGTGGTCCCTCGGTTAACGAACGGTTCGATTAACGAAATTTCAGTTAACGAATTAGCTCCCATAAGGATTTTCAGTTTGCTTAACGAACAAAACTTCGATTAATGAAATCCTTACGACAAACACGTTTTGTTGTGCGCATCAGCTGATCAGCTAGTCCGCCAATACAGTAATCGGTTCTTTGTTTACATTCGTTTCCAGTGGAGTAAATATCAAGAAGGTTGTGCTCTTTAATATTTGTGCATTTTTTATATTAAAATTATTAGTTATTTTAAAATTTAGTTTACATATTGATAATATATGCAGTACAGGGAACTAGTTTTTTGTGCGCCCATCAGCCGCTTGACTCACCCGCTAAAGCTTCTCTGTTTAACTTTGTTTACAGTGGAGGAAACATTGTGTTTGTTGTTCTCTTGAATACAGAGTATTTTTATGTTTTTACATTAAAATTATTGGTCATTCTGAAACTTAGTTAACATATTGATAATATATAGCGCAGTGCAGTATTGATTTAAATAAAATAATCTTTAATTACAGCTAGTGAACTTAAAATTTTATTGGTGAAACTACTGCAACAAGCATGGGTCCAACATTCTACATTCACACCTCAAAGTAAGTGTACAGTACTGTACTGCATTTTGTTTATACTTTGTATGTACTTTTCTGTGAGTTGGAACCAATTACCCAATATCCCATTAAAAAAAATAGATTCGGTTAACGAACGACTCTGTGGAACGAATTGTGTTCGTTAACCGAGGGACCACTGTACAGTGATCCCTCGGTTAATGAAATTTCGGTTAACGAATTACCTTCCATAAGATTCTTCACTTCGGTTAACGAGCAAACCCTATGTTCACGAATTCCTTACGAATTTTTCCCAACATGTTTTCGCCTGCATTTGGCTGCCCACCAACTGTAGTATTAGTCCGCCAATACAGTAATCGGTTTTAGGGCTTAAATTCCTTACCATTTTAGTAAATATCAAGAAGGTTGTACTATTCAATAATTTTAAAAGTTTTATATTAAATTTTTTAGTAATTTTAACAATTATTGAACATAATTGAAGTACAGGAAACTAGTTTTTTGCACGCCAAACAGCCACTCAACACACCAAGCTTGGCGTCAGTTTGTTTACCAGTTCAGAAAAAGGAACATCTTGTTTGAGACTCTTCAACATGAAAGCTTTTTTTCTATGTTTCCAGTCAAATTATTGGTCATTTTGAAATATATTTTACATATTGATAATATATAGCGCAGTGCAGTGTTGATTTAAAGAAAATAATCTTGAATTCCACCAAGTGAACTAAAATTTTATGGGTGAAATGGCAGCATGGGAAGACTTCTCTTCCACCCCAATGCCTTCTCTTCTCCCTTCTCCACCCCCATTCTAATTCCCATCATCATCAACCAGGAGCCTTCTACATGCACACCTCAAAGTAAGTGTACTTTACTGCATTTATTTTTAGTTTGTATGTAATTTTCAGTGAGCTGGAACCAATTACCCAAAAACCCATTGAAACAATGGTTTCGGTTAACGAATTTTCGGTTAAAGAGCAACCTTCTGGAATGAATTGTGCTTGTTACCGAGGGACCACAGTATTGGAGTATTTTTGTCATTGAGGAACAGAACCTTATTTTTCCCATAATTTCTTTTATTCATCCAACAAATTGACTCATGAGTGTTATTCATAACGTTTTATGATATCTGAATACAGTCGGCCCTTCACATACGCGGGTTTAGCATTCACGGATTCGCAAATACGCGGATTGCCCCGCCAGAGGAATATTCTGTACATTGAAGTAATTGAAGTTCATTCAAATAGCGTGCCATTCAACTCGGGCGCGGCACCGAACACGGGACACCGCCCGCTCCCGCAACCTCACACACACACACGCATAGCTCTCCCTCACTCAGTCAGTCTCGCTGTAACCACACTTGTGTTGACATCAGCATTGTAGTTGCAAAAATATTACATTTCCGTGAATGTATTATATCAAGCACAGTATGAATAGAATATCACTAATATAAGAGTATTTTAACCGAAAACTACTAAAAAAACGAGTAACATCTCTTGAACATCGGAAGGTTAGATAAAGTCTCTTGTGTGAGAAGTGAACATGTATGGAGGTGGTTCTAGCCAAGGCCTTGGCTATAAATTATGCCCAACTTGGCAGCCCAACTAAGTCGTAAATTGTCACTTGTAATGAAACTATAAATGTTGTGATAAATCATCACAATTCTTTAATGTGGAAAATATAATATAAAACTATAAAATAAGAAAAATAAAGAGAATATGTGGGTGTGTTATGGAATAGGTTTTTCATTGTTTTTTGGCAATTTTGACTTCGTGTAGGTCAACATCGTGTTTTTGGGTCTTCATGATGTTTTCTTTAACATAACTCCTGCATTGTTTAAGGAATATGTGTAATTTCAATTTCATTATTCTCAATTACATTTAGGAATGCATCCCTTGTGATAACCGGGGTATTCCTTTACTGCTTAAATTACGTTCCAATTTATTCACTCATCGTCTTGAATAAAGACGAAAGCTAAGGTGCTCCTTTGTTTCCCTTTTTCCTGTGTGAGTTTATTAAGATTTATCTTATCCACGTTTTCATTGTGGATCTACATGACATACTATAGGTAGGGTTCAATAACACCTGCCTGAGCCATGCACAGTTCAAAGTACTGTATTGGCCTCTCCATTAATATATCTGGAGGAATGAAAACTCAAATGAGTCTCATTTGCTTTTCCCTAGTGTTGTGGACATTTTATTGCATAATCTCATAACACAAGATTTTGTGTGTAAGTGAATAGACAGATTTTTACATGATATCTACCAGATACTCAGTATTGTCTTGAATTGGTTGTCCAATACCCTGTTGATTCATGGGTTGTTGCCCCATAGCCTGTTGGCCTATGTTCTGCTGGCCTATTGCTTGTCCCATAACTTGTTGACTTTGTCCAGCCATCTGTGGCCTTATCCCTTGCATCATGATGATGTGTTGCTGTTGTTGCTGCTGATGCTGCTGCTGGTGCTGGACTTGCTGCTGCTGTTGAATTCTTACTTGTTGCTGTAATTAAAAAATATATATTAAAAATGGAATGAATAAAGATGCTCCATAATACTACAGCAGTATTGATGATGTATGTACGATACGTTAGGCACGTCGCTATGTGAGAAGGAGAAGAGTCAGTCAAACTGCGACAAGCATCCAGTAAACACTATTTAACATGTGTCCTTTATTATTTGGTGTTCACTGTCCCATTGTCATAACATATTTTTGCCTGTAAACTGTTGCAACATTAAATGACTAACCATTGCAAGTGTTTCATGAAGACCTCAACATATTATGGTGCAAAAGTTTAACCAATGTGTGGAATAACCTTGCTGACTATTCACACACTTCATAACGCTCTCACCCCATCGTCATAGATCCCACTTACTCTTCCAAGAAACTCTACAGCCTTGCCGAAGCAGCAGAAATTGTGGGATTGGATGAACCATGTCACCCAGCAACCCAGATGCCACACCACTCCACTCATATTTCAAGTTATGAGGATACCTGTGCACAGGTTCTATCTTGAAACAAGGCTCGGTGATCTGTTGCTGAGACACCGCTCTGAGAATCATCAGTACCTGTATTGAATTCAGCTCCCAAACCCAACTTTATGCCATCAATTTTCAGTTCTCAGACTTCTCTCGTAGTGGCTGAGGTCCATATGGATGAGACAGGCATATCTGCTACTCCTCATCACCTCTCCACCAGCCATCCTGGTACTACAAGAATTTCAGCAAAATACCACAGAAAGTGAGACCTCTTTACTAACTTCATAACCTAATTCTGAGTCCCAGACACTCCAACAGACGTCAGCTCATGCTGGCACCACCTCCTCAGAGATGCCGACTGATGCTCTTCTGGAAGTATATGGTGACGAGACCCCAGCTAAAATAGAGCTGGCAGCTGGGACACCCTGGCACAGGGGTCACTTCTATGGATCCTCCATGGGGAGCTATCTCCAAAGGTTAACTCTGGTGTGGGTCCACTGGATGGGTCTACATCTGGGTTGACTGTGGCCACAAAGCCACAGACACTTCATTCAACCTTGGGGCAGGACAGAAAAGCCCAGTCCCACACAAGCCGCTTCCCCCCCCCCCCTCCCCCTCAACAGAGGGACCCTAAGAAGCTCATGTCATGGTACACTCCCAGTTCATTCTTCAGGCTTCAACACCCAAACTATGCCTAAGCCTAAATGCCTGTTGGGAGCCGCACACTTGCGTACCCTTACCGTATATCTCGGCTTATAAGACGGAATTTGAACATTAAAAAAATCTGCCCAAAGTTAGGGGGTCGTCTAAACCACCAAGTATAAAATTATTACCTCTTAGATATTGTGGTTTAGTGTGTCAAGAGTGGTGATGGAAACATCGTAAGCCACTCACAAGGTCTTACCACTAATTATTTTATACTGAAACTTATGTTTGGCAAGCTGGATTCAAATTAAGATTACCGGTATATTAAAATAATAAAAATGTATTATAAACCTGTCTAACATACCGTAAAAGAGAATTATACCCCTGTAATAAACACAGCTATCATCACACACCCCTCCCCACGCCCCCCCCATTTGCCAGTGAGTAGACAAGAAAGGGAAAGTGACCGCGGATTGGGCTATTTTTAGCCGTGGAGGTGGTCAGTAATGCATATCGGTATATTTACTGATAATAATACTTATCTCCTATAAATAATTAATTTAAAATTTATTTTTTTACAAGGAATATTCAGTAAATGACTGCATTAATTCTTGAAACTACCGACAGTTAAATACAGACGCTTAAGTGACGTCACTAGTGTTTACACTACACCAGCTGGTAACATTTGATGCCATTACTTGAAGTGAATTGGCCATATTTTAAGTAACTAACCATAAATAAATACAAAAAGTAAAAAAAAGATCAAAAGTGAGAAATAATATACTGTATGTATGTTGTGTTGTCAAAGTTAGAGGAACAATTCAAACTGCAATTGTGTGTAAATGAGGCAGAAAGTCAGGTCAGCGCTGAACCTGGGACTTGGTCACAATTTTCGTGATGCCATATGGCAGCAGGGTCTACCATTAGACAACACATTATGCTTCCAATATCTTCCCAGGCGGTAGTATCTACCTGTTTGGTAGCTGCCTACTACCTACACAATTTTTAGTAATATTACTTTGATACATGATAAATTAGACAATGAAAATAAACATCAAATTTAATTACCAAGACGCTTCCCATTGGCAGCTGTAAGAAGAGGGGAAGATGGGCTATTTTTATCCCGTCTTTGTGTCTGAAGTAGCCAGTAATACCATATATTTACTGATCATAATACTTATCTCCTATAAATAATTAATTTAAAATTTATTTTTCACATAGAATATTCAGTAAATGACTTTTAAATAAATAAACAAATAATTCGGTAAATGTATTTCAAGTAAATGGAAAATAAGCAAACAAATGTTATTTACCACCACCCTTCCCTCTGGCTCAGGGTGAGATGGAGGGGAGATAAAGAAGGCTATTTATAGCCCGTCTTTGTGTCTGAAGTGACCAGTACCCTAATGCACCATAAATAATTCATTTAACATTTATTTTTTGTATATATATTTTGTTGTATATATATATATATATATATATATATATATATATATATATATATATATATATATATATATATATATATATACACACACCTAGACCCCGACTTACGACGGGGTTAGGGACCCAAATCCAGGTCGTAAGTCCGACATAGAAGTAAAAAATAAAAAATAAAAAATCTACAATGAAATACAGTACAGTAAAAGTAATGAATAATGATGAATGGATACAGTACAGTGAAAGTAATAAATAATAAGGAATGGATACAGTGTGACTGAGCACTTAACCTTTAATGTAGTCAGCTGAATGCACATGGGGCCCCCATAATTTTCTAATTATACATGGAGACTACATTAACTGGAAACGTTTCAGTATAGAAAATGCGTGTGTCATTTAAAAAAAATTTATTTTTTTATTTATTTTTTTATTTATTTATTTTTTTTTTATCTATATCTGAGACGGTCGTAAGTCCACGTAGTCGTAAGTCGGGGTCTAGGTGTATATATATATATATATATATATATATATATATATATATATATATATATATATATATATATATATATATATATATATATACACACACACACACACACACAGTATTACCCCGCCTAACGCGGTTTCACTTAACGCGTTTTATCATATACGCGGTGCCTCGCCAGAGCTGAACTTTCACTTAACACGGATTTTTTCCACATATACGCGGTGAGTGTCCGGCTCCAGACGCTATTTTTAGATTTGCCCCACCCTGCCTGACTGCCTGTTTTAGCTCATAAAATTCATACAAATTACCCGGCCAGAATATAATTTACATTGCTGGAATTCTTATAATTTGGTGATCATTTTGAATATAAACATCATATTTTTGCATTAGACATACAAATTTTAGATAAAAAATTTTCTCAAATTAACTATGTTATCTTTTGTGCAAAATATATGACATTTATATTCAAAATATTCCTGGTCTTACAAGGAATCCAGCAATGTCAATTATATTATCCTAACTTTAGTTTGAGGTATTATTTATTAAAATTTAGTGGTTATCCCACACATCTCCTTGGGGCGGTTGGTGGGGGGTGGGGGGGAGGGAGGGACCGACCGACCATCTGTTACCCTGTGAAGAATTATTATTTTTTTTTATTAACTGAAGATATTTGTTTTCGCTCATAAAATTCATACAAATTACCCGGTCAGAATATAATTTACATTGCTGGAATTCTTATAATTTGGTGATCATTTTGAATATAAACATCATATTTTTGCATTAGACATACAAATTTTAGATAAAAATTTTTCTCAAATTAACTATGTTATCTTTTGTGCAAAATATATGACATTTATATTCAAAATATTCCTGGTCTTACAAGGAATCCAGCAATGTCAATTATATTATCCTAACTTTAATCTGAGGTATTATTTAATACTAAATGTTAAAAACCCTGGAAGGGAGGATTGGTGGGGGAGGGTTGGGACTGACCGCGCGGTTGGAAGAGGGGGGGAGGCAAGGTGGGGTACTTTGATTGACAGATAGTGTTGTGAAGATTATTATTTTTTTATTAACTGAAGATATTTGTTTTAGCTCATAAAATTCATACAAATTACCCGGTCAGAATATAATTTACATTGCTGGAATTCTTATAATTTGGTGATCATTTTGAATATAAACATCATATATTTTTCATTAAACATACAAATTTTAGATAAAAATTTTTCTCTAGGTAACTATGTTATCTTTTGTGTAAAATATATGACATTTATATTCAAAATATTCCTGGTCTTACAAGGAATCCAGCAATGTCAATTGTATTATCCTAACTTTAGTTTGAGGTATTATTTATTAAAATTTAGTGGTTTTCCCCCAAAAATTTCTCTGAGAGGGAAGAGCCAGTGAGTGTAGTGTGAGAGGGAGTTGAGTCCATTATTTGAATGGACATTAACTTGGCGACTGTATTTCTCTTAAGTATTAATTGTGTGCATGCACCATCATAAAATTAAGATGTTATTTTTACTACAACATAGGTATGTGCCTTCAAAAAGTGGAGTTTGGGGGTCAGGCCGGTTTCTATTGGAATTAATCCCATATGTTTCATTTAATTTACTTAGCAGATTCCTTCATGGACCTCTGGTTCAATTGACCGCGTTAAGTGAAATTGTGACATATATATATATATATATATATATATATATATATATATATATATATATATATATATATATATATATATATACATATATATATATATATATACATATATATATATACATATATATATATATATACATATATATATACAGTCTACGCGGAAGGTTAAGGCACACCATGGGGAAAAAATAAAAAAATCATGTTAAGGCAATAAAAAAATGAAAATAACACTCACCCACCCCTCTTAGTATTTTGTTGTGTTTCCCTTGCTCTTCAGCACCTCTTTCAGTCGT